GTTTTGAGATTTCCTATTGCTGCCCAGTGGCTCAGTCCTGAATTGGTTTTCCCTTGGAGCTCTCTGACCACCTGAGACAGGAGTTACTGCAATCCCTGAGGCTGAGTAGTCAACTCGAGTTGATTTCACTGTATTTTTTGTGTGTATTGCTTTGTGTGTTTGTTTTTGCAAGACAGTACACTGTGAGATTTCCCTTTGTTCCCCTGACATGCAAATCAAAACCCTACAGAGGAAGTACCCAGGAATTTGTGTGGTTTTACCTGCTTTGATAACAAACAACTTTGTTCTAAAAACCAGAAATCTGTAAGTGACTGGTAATTGACACCCTTTGTAAAGCAAAAGGATTAAACCAGGGCTTAAGGGAGGCTTTTTCAGTAGGAAAATGAATCACCTTGAAATAATCTGGTCATGTGACAAAACACACTGTACTGGTCAGTAAATGCCCTTATGATGTTTAATTGTACATTCACCTGTGCTGTTGAACTTTGCACAAAGATTGACCTGCCAGTGGGCAGAGGGGCAGATTGCCACATATAGCAGTGATTTATATGAATTCTGTGTAACTATTAACTTGGGGACATCAAGTCTAGAGAGCTGGACCAGTTAGGCAGGGGAAGAGGAGAGAAGACTGAAACGAGGTGGAAGACAAACCAGGCCTAAAGCCTTGCAGAAAGCAGAACCCAGTAGCATTGACAGACCTAATGCCTGCAAGTGTTTCCCATGGGAAAGTAAGGGACCTAATTTGGTATTCTTGATACAGAGATGCAGAGGTTGGCCTCATGTAACATAAATCTACATTTTGTACTTCAATAACATTTTAAGAATAATTTTGTGTGGGCTGACCTGTAGCATGCAGATGTTTTTATGTTCTTTTTTATTATTTTATAAAAAGGTTTCAAAAGCTTAATACCTAAAAATGGTCAAACCAATTGTATTTTCATCCTGGGGCTCCTGGGACCTTATCCCACTGCCTGTTAAGTTACAAGAATTTTGTTTCTGACTCCAGTGGATAAGACCCCAGGTTTTGTGGGAGCGGGAGGACTTAAGCTCTAAAATGGGAAGTGAACACTGCTCTGCTGATTTCCACTGGAGTTAAGCAGTATCTGGGGAAGTTAATGTGCTCTGGTGAAAGTGGTGGAGATGGGAAGTTTTCCCTTTGTGTGTGGGGGATGTGTCTGAGAGAAGACTGACAAGCCCATATCTCAACAGGAATGAGACTAAACCTGTACTTAGTAGCCAGAGGGAAACATATGATCCTTCATTTTGGATTAATTTTTTTAATAAAGGTATTGTCATAAAATTGGATACTCCCTTGTTTAAAGGCCAGTGTTTTAATGAGTGTTAGCTTATTTCTGCAGGGCTTTAGTCATTAAAAGAATCTATTTTGCTCAGCATTTTTCAGCAATGCATGTTTAATGTAGTCCTGATGCTGAAGGAAGGGTTTGTATAAGGAGGATGAAAAGAAACATTTATTTTAAAGAAGCAAGATATTTACTTTTCAAAGCTGAGTCACTGAATTTATGACATAAGAAGTTCTCTCAAAGACACGCATGTCTTTAGTTTATTTTTTTATGTTGTGTCACAAATAATTTTGAGTGGCAGGATAACTGTTTACAAAGCCACAGAGTGTTTATGAATGTGTGCAACAAGGATGTTCTGTAGCTCCACTTCTATCTGGAAAGAATATCCAGTAGCTACAGGAATAAAAACAAATTTCTTACGTGACTCTCTTTGATACCAGTTTTGCTGCATCATCAGTTGCTTAGCACTGAAGATAGAATGGTTCAGTGCTACAAAACCAGACGGGGGTAATTCTTCGTGCTGATGGTTTAATGGTGCTCAGTCCATCATGGTGTCAGTGCTGTAATTCCTCCCTGCAGTGTGTACAGAGCTCTGCCAGATCTTTCCTTGCAAAACCTTTGGATTTTTGCTTGAAAAACACTCTGTAAGCATTAATATTATTTCTTTTCATTTGTCATGGAATATTTATTCAAGCAATGTGGCTGCTTTCAGCACCACATCTGTTCCCAGTGCATATCTGCCACCTGATGCAATAATCCTTTGTCTGGAATATCAAAATTGGCAGCTGTAGAATATATTGAAATGCCAGAGTGGAAGAATAAAATTTTGTCTGGCAAAAAAGAGCTGAGAACACTCTTAACACTAAGGAAACTCCACTGCATATAAGCAGATTTGATAATACATGGGTCTGGGGTGCTGCAGAAATAACAGTTACCAACTTGTCAAATGTTTTGTCGTTGGATCCCCAGAAATCCAGAGCTGCTCTGTAACACCATTCTGCAGAGTCATGATATTACTGAGGGAAACAAGGGGCAGAAAAATAAATAGGAAAGATGCAGGTGTGAGGGTATGACTTGGGATAATGGTGCAAATATAAGGTGTGAGAAATGGAGGCTAAAGAAGAAGCTTATGCTTACAGTGAGTGGAGGTCAATATCTAGTCTGGATAGTCCAGGACACTTATGGAGAGCTTGGGACACCATCAGTACCTTTTGATTTCTACAGTTGCCTATCACAGAAATTGATTTCATACCCTTGGGTGCTTTCTGAAAGAGTCTTTAATAGCGTTTCATTTAATTGTGTGTCTTCAAGACACAAAGCAAAATGTTTCTGGTAAGAAGAGTGCAGCACACAGAGAGCTCTTTAAGGATTCTTTCTGCACTGCTTTGCCCTCTCCTGCAGGTAAGGACAGCTGCATTATGCAAGTGAGGAAAAGGGCTTTTCCCCACCTGTTTTAGTGAGCAATGCTTTAGTCATGTCTAACATCATTAATTAACTTTGCACTGAGACACAGAGATAAAAAACACTGGATTCTGGAGTGTGCTGGATAATAAATTAAATTAAAAAAAAAGAGATCAGGGACAAGGAACAAAACCATCCCTATTCCTTGTCCGCAGAACAAAGGCAAAGTGCCTCCTATTTAAGTGCATTTTTATGCTGCATTGGATACTATGGATACCTTTCCCCCCTTTTTTTGGACAGAGGATTTCTAGACGGGCTGGGAAAGGCAGCAATCTGTATTGCAACGCTAAGATGTTGGTTTTTTCACTCCTCTAACTGACACACACTCCTCAGCTCCCTCTGCCCCTCAGCTCCGTGGGTGCCAAGTGCTCCCAGCACTGACCTGGGGGTGTTGGGGTTACAGCACTCGGTCTGGGTCGGGTCAGAACCCCCAGCAGTGGCTTTAACCCCCAGCCCACCCAGCCCTTCTGCCAGACAAGCTGTGCTGTGCTGGAGGCTCCCAGCCTGGCACCCCCCTGGGCACAATTTGTAAGGGAGATTAAATTGTATTCTGTCAAGCAATAAATTCTCCCCTCAGGTGTCTTAAACAATGACTCACTAAACCTGCCAGGGAAACCCAGGAGTTTTGGAAGCTTCTCAAAGGGAAAATGATGCTCTTTCAAGAAACTTGTTTGTGTCTCACGTTGATTCTGCCCTGTGACCATAATGTTTCTAGTGGACTGCTCTGCAACTGTGTCGGGTGAGGAGTGTCAGGAGCTGTACTGGCTCCTGATTGCTACAGACGTGCTCTGCTGAGTTCACATTTGCTTTTTTATTTCTTCAAATATTCAAAATCAAGGAGGGAATCTACTTTATCAGGGGATCATGACCTACTAGCTGTATATCTGGTACTACCACTGGTACCATATGGTGGAAATATGTTTCTATCCACAGGTGAGTATTTTTGCAATAGTTGGAAACTTGCTCTATGCTATAAACTTGCTTTAAGAACCAGCACAAGGATTTAAACATCAGTAGCCAAAGAGAACTTTGCTCACAGTTTTCCTTCTTCAGAATTTTTCACATCCTTAACGTTACCTTTCTGCAGATCTTGAATTGTAAAGATTTTAAAGTCTCCAGTACAATAAGCTAGAGATTACAAAGTTGCGCTGCAGTAGCTGAATTAGTTGTCCTGCAGTAAAGATTTTAGTCTAAACGACATTACACATTCACTGAAATTATCATTTTGTAACACTTCACCAGGAACACGTTGCTGAACTCAATTCAGTTTTCTAAAAGAGTCTCTAAAAATATTCACTTACCACTCAATCAGAAATGTTTTGGTAGGGTAACTAAGTAAACACAAATATAGAACATTAATAAAGGCTTTTTCTCCCTTTTCTTTTCCCAGCTCTTTCCATATTTAGGCTGTCAGACTGTCTCAGAGAAATGAATTTTGGACAGATATTTCTGAGAGCTTAGTAATTGAATGTCTTGAGATTCTCCACTTCGGGGGCAGTGTTAGCATTAAAAACAATGCAAGCAAATGTCACAAGGATTTGGGAACACAGAGCAATGTGTTAAGGCCACATTAAATACTTTAATAATATTTTTAAGCTGAAAGTGCATAAAGTAGCTGCCAAAAGCTCACATGGCAATGTCCTGAAGTGCCTCAACTAAGACCTGTAGAAACCAATGAGAACCTTCTTGTGGGGATCTGTGGGGTCTTCATGTCTTTGCTTTTGGGATTTGAGCAGTAATGTTTGAACTGACAACTAGAACTTTTTCAGCTTCCCAAAGCTCGAGGGAGTTTTTCATTTAAGGCTCCTAATAATGCCAGAAGTCCCAGACACTGAGCAGTGAACTGAACGAAGAACATTTCAGTGCTGAAACTCTCTCTGTTCTTGTGTAGGATTTTTGGCAAAGCATCCTATGATAATGTTTCTGAAACCTAATTCAATTCCAATGAAAAAAGGGGGATTTAACATATAAACTCTGTCGGTATTGTACCCTGATTTAACATCTGCCCATCACTGAGGACTCCAGGTGAGCAGCTTTCTGCACACTTCACAAAGCTTCAGCAGGACTCTGCAAAAGCCAACATCAGGAGTTCCCTTCCTTTCCTTTCATCTGTTCACTGAAGTTCCCACAACACTATTTACTTCTCATTCATTTGATTTTTTTCGATGATATTTCTGTAGTACCCAACTAACCCACTTTCCTCCCCCTCCCCTCACAACCCCCTGATTACCAACTTACCTAGTGGCAGAACAATGAAGAAAGGTAGCCAGCACAGGATAAACATGCCAACCACAATTCCCAACGTCTTGGCTGCCTTCTTTTCTCTAGAGAATTTTAAAAGTTTGAAAGCTAACGAGTTCCTGGGATTGTGACCCTTGGATTTGGTGTTGTTTAGGGTGTCCTCATGAACATTTTTGTAATGAATCCGTAAAGTCAGCTCTTTGGAGTTGGACATTTCTTTCATCACCCCAGCTTCCAGGTTTTTAGTAGTCCTTTTGGCCACTATGTAGACCCGACAGTACATCACGAGGATGACAATTAAAGGAATATAAAATGACCCCAAGGAAGAAAACAAAGCATAGAAGGGTTCCTCGGTGATGCGGCACTCCTTGTCGTCCTTGGGAGCTGGTTCTTTCCAGCCCAGAAGAGGCCCAATGGAAATCACCATGGAAAGGACCCAGACACCCAGGAGAGCTAAAATTGCCCTTCTTTTTGTTACCAGCGTTGGGTACTGCAGAGAATAACGTACCCCTATATATCTATCAATAGAAATTGCACATAAACTTAAAATGGAGGCTGTGCAGCACAGCACATCAACTGCTGCCCAGATATCACAAAATATCCTCCCCAAAACCCAGTAGCCAAGGACTTCCAGTGTAGCAGAGAACGGAAGGACTGTAAAACTCAGCAGCAAATCTGCTATTGCGAGGTTAATGATGAAATAGTTTGTAGGGATTCTTAAATGTCTATTGCAAGCAACAGAGAGAATTACCAAGATATTACCTATGATAGCAAAGAGGATAAAGGCACCGAGGATCAGCCCCACAATTATCGCCCTACTGGTAGCCAAGGCAGGTGAATCCAGGTTAGTTGCCGTCTCATTGGAGTTGTTGGCAGAAAAATTGCCATTATTTAGTGCAGACACTTTCAAATATCCAGGTATTGATGTATTGGATTTATCGCCAAAGTAGGTATTCATCTTAAAAATCATCCTCCATAGCAAGTTATGATTGGGTCCCTCACTCAACACGCCGATGGTTTGAGTCACTTCAAAGTCATCTCTCGACCCAAGAAGTTGCTGCAGAGCCCTGGCCTGTGTGAGGTGGAGAACTCATCTCCCCTGAGGGCTGTCAGCTCTGAGCACGTAAAACTTGCCCAGCGTGGAGTCCTCGGAAGCCTGTCAGAAACAGCAGGCTGCTCAAACTTGCTTAATTTCTCATGCAGACTCGTTGAAACACAAATGAGCAGGCAGAAATCTTGGCTGGAGCTGAAAGCAGCACTTTCGATCACGGCGCCCCTGGAAGACAGGACAGGTTTAGAGTTTTCCCTGGAGCGTGTGTGGCTGTGTTGGAGGGATGTCCCTGTGAGGCTTCAGGAAGGTTTGTCAGCATTTCCAGCTCTGCGTGAGCTGGCTCCGCTGTCACCGTGCCTGTGCAGTGACATCACTGCGGTGGGGCCGGCAGCGCTAGAGGGCAATGCAGGCCAACATACCAGTCACCGCTGAACAAACGGAATGCATCAGTCTTAATTGAAGCATTTGCCACACAAATCCGGAGTGGAAACCTTTAAAAAACCACTTTCACTATCTGAGGGAAAATATACTTGGCAGGCTGTGGGGAAAGCAGCAATTTCAGTACTAAATGATCTGTTGCCCTTTTGCCCACTAAGAAAATATATTTGAGTTTATTTTGTAGTTGAAGTGAATCACGTGTCATTTTAGAGAACTAATCATCATTTTAGAGAACTAATCATCTTCTAAGGACAGATAGGTTGGTTCCAAAAATCTCTAGTTTATTTGTAAATTCAGTACTTAATGATTGCATAAAGTTTGTTTCTAACTGTAAAAATTCTGTTAATAATAAAAAATAGTAACAGATTAGCAAAATCTTTATGTTTGTTCTATACCCCTGTGTAACAGAAGCATCTGTGGCTTCATCTCCCCTTTTCTCCCTCTGTAACTTTTCTAAGCATGGGTGCTTTATGAATCCCAGCCTTGAACAGAGCTGAGCACCCCAACCCACAGCCCAAGGGAAGGCAGAGATAAGTATTTAGTACCTTTTCCAGGTACTCTTTATGCTTAACCATCTTCCTATGTCTTTAGTAAGAGCTGTGAGGTCACTGAGACTGCTATTAACTCATTGTAACTCTGAGAAGAGATCCTATTGCAGTAGCCTATAAAACAAAAAATATGAAACAGCTTATTTATTTTTTAGATAATAGCCTTTAATGTCAAAAGCAGGGGTTCCTTGATTTCTTAATTTTTGTGTTACCTGGTGGTGGGAAGTCTCAAGTCTTTAAAGCTCAGGGCCATTAGTAACAAAAAGTGAAGGATTTGATGATAACTGCCAAAATACTGTTCTCAACTTTCTGCCATCAGATTGTGTCCTACAGCTGTTACCTGAAGTACTCTGGGTTACTCTATATTGATTTGCCTGTTACAAGATGTACTGTGTTCAAAGTAAAAGGTTCATTTTTAATAAGGCAGCCATGGCTGAAAGTTGCAGCTGACTGCTGGTTTTAAGGACAAACCAAGTAAACACAAGCTCTGGTTGGATTTTGCTTGAGGAGATGTTTGTGCAGCCCTCCCCACACAGGACTATGGCACAGCACTGTTGTTCAGAAACTTTACTTTGAAACATTTACAAGAATGACACCATAACATGTCACGGAGTCACTGAAGGGAAGAGGAACAAACACTCAGTTTATGAACTTAACCTCAGCTTTTCTGCTTCTGCTCTCTCCAAGGCAGAGTTTCCACTGCTAATGAAAGCAGTTACCAGCCTGTGACTTGGGGCATTTACCCTTCACACTCACCATTCCTGCTGGACTCCACGGAACCACTTAGTTCTGTTTGTGTTTTCTGGTTTTGTTTCTCTGCCTTGTCTGTTTTAGCTGTGAATTCCTCAGGCTGGGGGCTCTGTCCTGCTGTGAAGGTGCTGACCCAGCTGCCAGGGGTGTGAGAAAACTGTGCCTGGCTAAGGCAATGATTTGAGACTTCTCTCAGTGGAATTGGGGTATCACAGAGGGCACAGAGAGTTGCTGCATCTTCCCCTCTTGGTGTTTGAGCTACATTCATTAAAGCTCATCTAATTAGACCATTAGGTCCAGACATAATGATGTTTCAGCCTTTGGCACATAAGAAAATACGATCACTTCAAAATGGGGAGAGTTTGGATAAGAAACGATCAGTGAGGGTGTAAACTACTCTGCTTTGATTTTGCAGCTGGCGTCATGTGGGACATGCCCAGTTTGCAAAGAGTAACAGAGTGGCCTGGAAATCCTCCCTGGCTTTGGCCACACCACAAGAAGGCTTTGTAGGGCCAAGGAACCAGATCTTTCAATAGCCTTTCAACAGCCACTTCCAGGAGTCAGCTGGTTCCAGCTCTCCAGCAAGGTCTGGGACACTGTGCCAACAGCAGTGACAGGAAAGAGCAGAAGGAAAGGGAACATAGATTCTAACTGCTAGTGATTGGACTAAAACATATTTCTTTGCTCAGTACTGGGACCAGTCTGTGTCCCTTACTAGTGTTGCTTTCTGTGCCCATTTGGATGAAATCACAGACAGAAAAATCCTATTCCAGGGGTCAAAGGAAGACAAAGCTGCTGCTCATCTCTCACAGCCCTACTGAGAATTCTGATGTGTTTTCACATCCCTGTTTACCAGTCTGTGTAATGACATACTGGCTGAATAGTCATGAGACTCAGCTGAATAATGTTCACAAATTGCCTTGAGATCTTCAGCAGCAGGTGCCATAATAAAGCCAAGTATATTGAAACCTGGGCACAAACATTAACTATTGCCCTGCCTTGGGATGAGTGATAGAATAGGTACTGTGAGAAAGAGGCTCCCCTTTCTGCCAAGTTCAAGGTAGCAGTTCAGGGTAGTGCAATTGAAAACACCTGCTCAGAGCAGCGTGGATTGTATTCATTGCAGAGTTGCTTTCCTTCAGACAATCATAGTTTTCAATGAGAAAGTAAATTTAATAGCCTGAAGATTCTACTCAATAATATTTCAATAATGATGTATAGAAAGGCAGGATGGTTCAATGTGCATCTGCAGAGAGCCTGCTGAACAGCAAAAGTCTGAATACGGAGCATGCAATAGAGGAAACGTGGAGAACACCTTCATGTGTTCTCAGATGAGTTCAAATTTTCAAATATGCCGAACTTTAAAGATGTATTTTGTGAAAGCTGATAAATGCAAAAGGAGTCCTTTTGCACGGCTCAGTTTTGTAAAGATCTGTGCTCCTCTTCTTCATTTACAAAGTGGTGTTAAAAACACGTGCTGGCATTTTGATTTGATTTCTGACACACAGCAGAGAAACTTCCAGGGCACTTTTGCAACTCTGCTCCTAATTGGGCATGGAAGTATGAGCTCGATATAGGATTTAAATGAGTATATCTACATACAGTTTTATATAATTCCTCTTAATTATTTCTCTCACTTGTCTGCTACTGTGTCTGATAACTAAAACATTACCACGAAGTAGAATGAGGAGGTGGGCTTGAGGAAAATTTTTTTATATGACTGTGGGTGGGTATGTAGACTCCTGTGACAAGTGGGTGTATCTGCAGCTCAGAGAAAATGTGAGACTGTGTGGCACTAGATCATCTTCTTCATAACAGGGTTTCTCTGTAGACGTGGCTGTTAAAAATATACTGATAAAAAGATGAAACTCTTCTCTGCTTTTTTAGGAACTCCAGTGTTAGTTACAGAGCTGCACTTAATTGCTTGTTTTATTAATTACAGATGGTGCAAGAAATTGCTACTGCACCATTGTACTGTTGGCACAAGTGCCCTTTCTGAAGTTGTTCTTTCTCTAAGCACCACTGGACAACATTAAAAATCACAGTGTGATCCAGAAAATATATTCCTTTGATTTCCATTCCTGCTGCTGAGCAGACTTTTGTTCTTCAGGGAAGACCTCTTTGGCTCAGCCAGAGTTGTAAAAACTTTCCACAGGCACTGGAAATACACAGGATTATAGTTTCTTTACGTTTCATGATTAAGTAGAAACATGTTTCCTTTGAATGTGTACACACGAGCCCTGAACCTCAGGAAGGGGAATTTCCATGATGAGAGGAGAAAAATGCATTTAAAATGCAAATTTTCAGTTGTCCAATAATGATATTTAAAGCCTTGTGGGTTTATTTTCAGAGTAAGAAAAATATCTCATGGGTTTGTATTAACAGCTCAGGTTATTAGCTTGAACTTGCCAAAACAAGATTGCAAAAACTTGCAACCCTGAATAATCTTTTTTTATGTGGTGATTCAGTGCTTGTTGTTTCTATGTAAACAGAATTTGAAGAGCATTTTCTAGTAAAATGTAGTTAATTAAATAAAATACTATTGGTTTTGTGTTGTCACTGGCTCTTAAATCCGTTTTCATATTTAGGTTTTGTGGGCCCATTGCCCACATTAAACCACGTTTTTTCTCACACTCCTTTATCTGTGCATTTCTGCTAAAGCTGTGCTAGAGACCCCCAAAATGACCAGTTACTGATACAGGCCCTACCTCAGAAACATGAGGATGATGCCAGCTCATTATTTTGGACAGAGGATAATGGACTATGTATTTAGGTGGGGTAGAAAAATCAGTATTTGGAAATCCGGGAAAAGTCTGTCCCTGCCTTAAGGAGAGAGGAAACAGCACAGCCCCCCTCAGCAAGGGGAAGGAGAGCAGGTCTCTGTGTGGAGTTTTCAGCCTGGAAAGTGTTGGTTGTCCTGGCTGGGCTCTGACCCCTCCGCACGGATAACCTGGACAGGAGCTGTCCAAAGGAAGTGTAACACCCTTGTAGTGCTGTGCTAAACTGCACTGAGGAAAGAGGATTTCTTCCTGATCCCACGTGGAGATGAGTCCTAAGCCTGGGTGAACTCTTTGACTGTGCAATCTTTCAGAATTCAAATCCAAATAGGGGACTTGTAAGGGAACCAGATGAGGTAAAACAGTTGAATTGTGGGTGGTGAGGCAGGAGGAGGATACCAAGCTCTCCTGAAAAGATCCTTTCCTTCCCTTCCCTATGCATTTAAACTATCTCATAACATGACTCTTTTAGAATAGATTTACAAGGGAATGAACTTGAGGTTTTAATTTGCATATTATAGTCTGTTCTAGGTCATAGAAATTCAAATTAATACAGATTGCACTGTCTTTTTTAAAAAAGGCACACGGCTGGATATATTTATTTACATTAAATAAGTTCATCTTGATTAAAAATATTTATTGTGACATTAAAAGGACAGTAATTAACTGCTGAAAAAAGAAAAACATTTTAAACAGCACATAACTCATGTTGCTCACTGTCATAAAATAACATTGTGCCAAGGGCTGTGTGAGATTAGAAGTAGATTAGAGGTTTATGTGGCTAATGAAACAATCACTGATAAACTGGTTGAGGTGACCACAATGTTATAAATCTCCACACCTCAAGAAATAATCTTGAAGGTAAATTCAG